ACCACAACATTACCACAGAACAACCACACCACACAACCACCACCACAACACAACCACCACCTCACACAACAACACCACACAACCACAAAACAACCACATCACCACACAACCACATCACACAACAACATCACCACACAACCACATCACCACACAACCACACCACACAACAACCACCACATCACCACACAACCACCACATCACACAACCACAATAATATCACCACACAACCACCACCACAACATTACCACAACAACCACATCACCACACAACCACCACCACAACACAACCACCACCTCACACAACAACACCACACAATCACACCACACAACAACCACATCACCACACAACCACCACCACACAACCACATCACCACACAACCACATCACCACACAGCAACAACCACATCACCACACAACCACCACATCACACAACAACCACATCACCACACAACAACCACATCACCACACAACCACCACCACACAACACACATCACCACACAACCACATCACCACACAGCAACAACCACAACGTCACCACACAACCACATCACACAACCACATCACCACACAACAACCACCACCACCGTCGGAGAAATAGCAAGCATCGAACTTAAGCTAAAAGAATCCTTTAGGAGTCAGGAATCGCGGGAAGAACTAAAAGCTATAAATGAAATCGAAAGAAACCCAAAGTATTTCTTCTCCTATGCCAAATCAAAATCGAGAACAACGCCCAGTATTGGGCCCCTACTTAAACAAGATGGGACCTACACAGATGACAGCAAGGAAATGAGTGAGCTACTCAAGTCCCAATATGACTCAGTTTTTAGCAAGCCGCTAACCAGACTGAGAGTCGAAGATCAAAATGAATTTTTTATGAGAGAGCCACAAAATTTGATTAACACAAGCCTATCCGATGTTACCCTGACGCCAAATGACTTCGAACAGGCGATAAATGACATGCCCATGCACTCTGCCCCAGGGCCAGACTCATGGAACTCTGTGTTCATCAAGAACTGCAAGAAGCCCCTATCACGAGCCTTTTCCATCCTATGGAGAGGGAGCATGGAAAACGGGGGTCGTCCCTCAGTTACTAAAAACAACAGACATAGCCCCACTCCACAAAGGGGGCAGTAAAGCAACAGCAAAGAACTACAAGACCAATAGCACTAACATCCCATATCATAAAAATCTTTGAAAGGGTCCTAAGAAGCAAGATCACCACCCATCTAGAAACCCATCAGTTACACAACCCAGGGCAACATGGGTTTAGAACAGGTCGCTCCTGTCTGTCTCAGCTACTGGATCACTACGACAAGGTCCAAAAATGCACTAGAAGACAAAAAGAATGCAGATGTAATATATACAGACTTTGCAAAAGCCTTCGACAAGTGTGACCATGGCGTAATAGCGCACAAAATGCGCGCTAAAGGAATAACAGGAAAAGTCGGTCGATGGATCTATAATTTCCTCACTAACAGAACACAGAGAGTAGTCGTCAACAGAGTAAAGTCCGAGGCAGCTACGGTAAAAGCTCTGTTCCACAAGGCACAGTACTAGCTTCCATCTTGTTCCTCATCCTCATATCCGACATAGACAAGGATGTCAGCCACAGCACCGTGTCTTCCTTTGCAGATGACACCCGAATCTGCATGACAGTGTCTTCCATTGCAGACACTGCAAGGCTCCAGGCGGACATCAACCAAATCTTTCAGTGGGCTGCAGAAAACAATATGAAGTTCAACGATGAGAAATTTCAATTACTCAGATATGGTAAACATGAGAAATTAAATCTTCATCAGAGTACAAAACAAATTCTGGCCACGAAATAGAGCGAAACACCAACGTCAAAGACCTGGGAGTGATTATGTCGGAGGATCTCACCTTCAAGGACCATAACATTGTATCAATCGCATCTGCTAGAAAAATGACAGGATGGATAATGAAACCTTCAAAAACTAGGGAGGCCAAGCCCATGATGACACTCTTCAGTCACTTGTTTATCTAGGCTGGAATATTGCTGCACTCTAACAGCACCTTTCAAGGCAGGTGAAATTGCTGACCTAGAAAATGTACAGAGAACTTTCACGGCGCGCATAACGGAGATAAAACACCTCAATTACTGGGAGCGCTTGAGGTTTCTAAACCTGTATTCCCTGGAACGCAGGAGGGAGAGATACATGATTATATACACCTGGAAAATCCTAGAGGACTAGTACCGAACTTGCACACGAAAATCACTCACTACGAAAGCAAAAGACTTGGCAGACGATGCACCATCCCCCCAATGAAAAGCAGGGGTGTCACTAGCACGTTAAGAGACCATACAATAAGTGTCAGGGGCCCGAGACTGTTCAACTGCCTCCCAGCACACATAAGGGGGATTACCAACAGACCCCTGGCAGTCTTCAAGCTGGCACTGGACAAGCACCTAAAGTCAGTTCCTGATCAGCCGGGCTGTGGCTCGTACGTTGGTTTGCGTGCAGCCAGCAGCAACAGCCTGGTTGATCAGGCGCTGATCCACCAGGAGGCCTGGTCACAGACCGGGCCGCGGGGGCGTTGACCCCCGAAACTCTCTCCAGGTCTCTCCAGGTAAACATCACCACACAACCACAACATCACCACACAACAACCACAACATCACCACACAATAACCACCACAACATCACCACACAACAACAACCACCACAACATCACCACACAACAACAACCACCACAACAACCACCACAACAACCCCACACAACAACTGTTACAAAAAACACTATTCTAAAAGCTTAGAGATCTCCAGGTAATACTAGAAAGGACTGCCCTTCTAGCATCCAGCCTGTTACTGGGTTTTTGTAACAAGTAGTCAGTATCCTTGTCCAATTATCCATTAAAATTCAGTATGATTCAATAGTGCTTCAGGATTACAACTGGTAGGCTACTAAAACTAGAGAAATTAAAATTTAATAAATTTATTAAGTCTAGAGGTTTATTATCAAATTAAACTAAATTAATCACAGTAATCAAAATAATATTAATCACTACTCTCGAGTACAATATTATTGTGCTGAAAGCACATATTACATTTATAATTCTTAAGTACCGTCTGGTACATTAACATTTAATAAGATATTACAAATATGTACAAGTTTGTGTGTATGTGTGTAAGTGCTCTAAGTAGTTCGCTATGTCTCACGACTCGACCAGACTTAAATAAGTGACTGACAAAGTCCTCAAATAAACTAACTTCTTGACCAACTGGCAGTCAGAACAGTCTGCTTGAACAATAAAAAGAATGCTAAGCCCAAAAGCAATATAACAAGCAAAAGTGACACAGAATCAGGAACAAGGAGAAAATATAACGACACTAAGTAGGGACCATCAGCAGATCCTCCACAAAAGTCACAAAACTCCCATAATAGTGAATCTAAGTTCAGCATAAGAAAATCACCGACTGTGACAGTACACAGATACCAGTACAAGTTAGGTCAGAAGCTACAGCTCAGGACCTGAGTTACTCAGTGTCTAAGCAACACACAACCTCAGTACAACGTCGAAAATCACTAAGTCTATACAATGTTCTGTGAACAAGAGTCTCCAGAACTAACAACAATAATAAGACAGATAGCTACAGAGACGATCTTCCAACAAGGGCCAATAAGGGAGATTTAGGCACTTGTCAGGAATACGTCCAACCACCAAGCGAGTCTAGACCAGACTGAATACTTCAGGCGAGGTGAGATCATTCCCCCTCGATCACGTGATAGCTCCGTGGACAGTTACTGCCCAGCAACAGAAGCCGGCAGGGAAACGAGCAAACAGCGATAATTACAGTAGTTAGACAATCAAGACTTGAGCTGAGCACATAATATGTTACATCCTACCTAACAACATAACTAACTCAAATAATAATATAAAGCAATACATTTACGATTTAGCTATTATCGCAAATATAAGCAATATAAAATTACATGAAAATTTAATATACATATACATTGTAACCCATTCAAGGGTTGCAACCACCACCACATCACCATACAACAACATCACCACACAACAACCACCACCACATCACCACACAACAACAACCACCACATCACACAACAACAACCACCACAACATCACCACACAACAACCACCACAATATCACCACACAACATCACCACACAACCACCACCACAACATCACATCACACACAACAACCACCACATCACACATCACCACACAACCGCCACATCACACACCACACAACCACCACATCACCACACAACAACCACCACATCACCACATCACCACCACACATCACCACACAACCACAACATCACCACACAACATCACCACACAACAACCACATCACCACACAGCCACAACATCACCACACAACCACAACACCACCACACACCACACAACAACCACCACAACACCACACCACACACCACACAACAACCACCACATCACACCACACAACAACCACCACATCACCCACACAACAAACCACATCACCACACAACCACATCACACAACAACCACATCACCACACAACCACCACAACATCACACAACCACCATATCACCACACAACCACATCACAACATCACCACACAACCACAACATCACCACACATCCACCACAACATCACCACACAACAACAACCATCACATCACCACACAACCATCACAACATCACCACACAACAACCATCACATCACCACACAACAACCCCCACAACATCACCACACAACAATCACCACATCACCACAGAACAACCACCACAACATCACCACACAACCACATCACCACACAACAACCACCACATCACTACACATCACCACACAACAACCACAACATCACCACACAACAACCACAACATCACCACACAACAACCACCACAACATCACCACACAACAACCACCACAGCATCACCACACAACAACCACATCACCACACAACAACCACATCACCACAACAACATCACCACACAACATCATCACAACATCACCACAACAACATCATCACTCACCCAGGTGTTACACTGACAGTCATCACTCCTGAGTGGCTGTAATATAACAATATAACCAGACAACCATCACAACCCACCACATCACACACACATACACATCCACATCACACACAACAACCACCACATCACCACAACAACATCACTCACCCAGGTGTCACACTGACAGTCATCACTCCTGAGTGGCTGTAATATAACAATATAACCAGACAACCATCACAACATCACCACACAACAACCACCACATCATCACCACAACATCACCACAACATCACCACACAACATCACCACAACATCAACACACAACATCATCACAACATCACCACAACAACATCATCACTCACCCAGGTGTTTACACTGACAGTCATCACTCCTGAGTGGCTGTAATATAACAATATAACCAGACAACCATCACAACACCACCACAACATCACACACATCATCACAACCACCACACATCACCACACATCACCACAACATCACCACACAACAACAACACCACAACATCACCACAACAACATCATCACTCACCCAGGTGTTACACTGACAGTCATCACTCCTGAGTGGCTGTAATATAACAATATAACCAGACAACCATCACAACTCAGCAGGTAAACAACACAACAAACAACTGACAGTCGCCTCCACACCCACACACCTAAAATATATATATTTTTTTTTTTTTGGCCTCCTGGAAAATTTTGATTGTTTTTACACTTGTTTTATACTGTAAAGTTTGTGAAATTTAATCTAGATTAACACCAGTAAACTAAACTAGTTTTGGGAATTTTTTTTTCTAATTTCATAGGCCTAATGAATGTCAGACTTTTTTATAAATTATGTATAATTTACTCATGTAATATTTTATATAGGCATCATGGACATTAAAAATTTTAGGCCTTAAGCCTATGTGGAAATAACTCTGGTACAGATTAAGCTAGTGGTGTAAAAAGTTCAAGGCCTAAAAACTAATAAAAATAAAGAATTTTGATATTTTTACACCTGTTTTATACTGTAAATTATTTGGGACTGCTTACATCGACTCCAGGTTGAGGGACTGACTACCTCAATCTTCTTCTGATCATCCTGTTCTTTGTATTGGACTGATGTTACTGTGCGGCGAAAAATGTTTATACACACACACACACACACACACCACACACACACACACACATATATATATATATATATATATATATATATATATTAATATATATATATATATATATATAGGAGGGTGGGTGCAGGAGGAAAGAGGAGTGATTGGTGGAATGATGAAGTAAAGGGTGTGATAAAAGAGAAAAAGGTAGCTTATGAGAGGTTTTTACAAGGCAGAAGTGTTATAAGAAGAGCAGAGTATATGGAAAGTAAAAGAAAGGTGAAGAGAGTGGTGAGAGAGTGCAAAAGGAGAGCAGATGATAGTGGGAGAGGCACTGTCAAGAAATTTTAATGAAAATAAGAAAAAATTTTGGAGTGAGTTAAACAAGTTAAGAAAGCCTAGGGAAAGTATGGATTTGTCAGTTAAAAACAGAGTAGTGGAGTTAGTAGTTGGGGAGAGGGAAGTATTAGGTAGATGGCGAGAATATTTTGAGGAACTTTTAAATGTTGATGAAGAAAGAGAGGCGGTAATTTCATGCACTGGCCAGGGAGGTATACCATCTTTTAGGAGTGAAGAAGAGCAGGATGAAAGTGTGGAGGAGGTACGTGAGGCATTACGTAGAATGAAAGGGGGTAAAGCAGCTGGAACTGATGGGATCATGACAGAAATGTTAAAAGCAGGGGGGGATATAGTGTTGGAGTGGTTGGTACTTTTGTTTAATAAATGTATGAAAGAGGGGAAGGTACCTAGGGATTGGCAGAGAGCATGTATAGTCCCTTTATATAAAGGGAAAGGGGACAAAAGAGATTGTAAAAATTAAAGAGGAATAAGTTTACTGAGTATACCAGGAAAAGTGTACGGTAGGGTTATAATTGAAAGAATTAGAGGTAAGACAGAATGTAGGATTGTGGATGAGCAGGGAGGTTTTAGAGTGGGTAGGGGATGTGTAGATCAAGTGTTTACATTGAAGCATATATGTGAACAGTATTTAGATAAAGGTAGGGAAGTTTTTATTGCATTTATGGATTTAGAAAAGGCATATGATAGAGTGGATAGGGAAGCAATGTGTCAGATGTTGCAAGTATATGGAATAGGTGGTAAGTTACTAAATGCTGTAAAGAGTTTTTATGAGGATAGTGAGGCTCAGGTTAGGGTGTGTAGAAGAGAGGGATTATTATTATTATAATCAAGGGGGAAGCGCTAAACCCGTAGGATTATACAGCGCCCAGGGGGGGATGTGGAAGGCATTCAGGCTTAATTCGGGGGAACTGGAGCACAGATCCAATTCCCTAAATCAAGAGCCCCTCACCAACATCAAGGAACCTTCCATGAGGGTGTGTAGAAGAGAGGGAGAATACTTCCCGGTAAAAGTAGGTCTTAGACAGGGATGTGTAATGTCACCATGGTTGTTTAATATATTTATAGATGGGGTTGTAAAGGAAGTAAATGCTAGGGTGTTTGGGAGAGGGGTGGGATTAAATTATGGGGAATCAAATTCAAAATGGGAATTGACACAGTTACATTTTGCTGATGATACTGTGCTTATGGGAGATTCTGAAGAAAAATTGCAAAGGTTAGTGGATGAGTTTGGGAATGTGTGTAAAGGTAGAAAGTTGAAAGTGAACATAGAAAAGAGTAAGGTGATGAGGGTATCAAATGATTTAGATAAAGAAAAATTGGATATCAAATTGGGGAGGAGGAGTATGGAAGAAGTGAATGTTTTCAGATACTTGGGAATTGACGTGTCGGCGGATGGATTTATGAAGGATGAGGTTAATCATAGAATTGATGAGGGAAAAAAGGTGAGTGGTGCGTTGAGGTATATGTGGAGTCAAAAAACGTTATCTATGGAGGCAAAGAAGGGAATGTATGAAAGTATAGTAGTACCAACACTCTTATATGGATGTGAAGCTTGGGTGGTAAATGCAGCAGCAAGGAGACAGTTGGAGGCAGTGGAGGTGTCCTGTCTAAGGGCAATGTGTGGTGTAAATATTATGCAGAAAATTCGGAGTGTGGAAATTAGGAAAAGGTGTGGAGTTAATAAAAGCATTAGTCAGAGGGCAGAAGAGGGGTTGTTGAGGTGGTTTGGTCATTTAGAGAGAATGGATCAAAGTAGAATGACATGGAAAGCATATAAATCTATAGGGGAAGGAAAGAGGGGTAGGGGTCGTCCTCGAAAGGGCTGGAAAGAGGGGGTAAAGGAGGTTTTGTGGGCGAGGGGCTTGGACTTCCAGCAAGCGTGCATGAGCGTGTTAGATAGGAGTGAATGGAGACGAATGATACTTGGGACCTGACGATCTGTTGGAGTGTGAGCAGGGTAATATTTAGTGAAGGGATTCAGGGAAACCGGTTATTTTCTTATAGTCGGACTTGAGTCCTGGAAATGGGAAGTACAATGCCTGCACTTTAAAGGAGGGGTTTGGGATATTGGCAGTTTGGAGGGATATGTTGTGTATCTTTATACGTATATGCTTCTAAACTGTTGTATTCTGAGCACCTCTGCAAAAGCAGTGATAATGTGTGTTGCAACCCCTGAATGGGTTACAATGATTATTATGTATATATAATGTATATTACCTTTTCATTTAATTTTATATTGCTTATATTTGCGATAATAGCTAAATCGTAAATATATTGCTTTATATTCTTATTTGACTTATGTTGTTAGGATGTATATAAAATGTGCTCAGTTAGTCTTGATTGTCAAACTACTGTAATTATCGCTTGTCGCTCGTTATACTGCCGGCTTCTGAGCTGTGCTGCCCACGGAGCTATCACGTGATCGAGGGGGGGTGTCCTCACCTCTCGTGAAGTTTTCAGTCTGCTCGAGACTCGCTTGGTGGTTGGACAGATTGTCTGTCTCATTATTCTTGTTAGTTCTGTAGAACTTTGTTCACAGAACATTGTATAGACTTTGTGATTTTCGACGTTGTACTGAGGTTGTGTGTCTCTTAGACACTGAACATCTCAGGTCCCGAGCTATAGCTTCTGACCTAATTTTGTACTGGTTCCTGTGTATTGTCACAGTCACAGTTTTACTTATGCTGAACGTAGATTCAGTAGTATGGGAGTTTTGTAACTTTTGTGGAGGATCTGCTGATGGTCCCTACTTAGTGTCGTTATATTATTTCCCAGTTCCAGATTCTGTGTCGCAGTCGCTTGATATTGCATTGCTATTGGGCTTAGCATTCTTTGTTGTTCAAACAGACTGTTTGGGTTGCCAGTCGGTCAAGAAGTTAGTTTATTTGAGGACATTGTCAGTCACTTGTTTAAGTCTTATTCGAGTCTTGAGACATAGCTAACTACTTAAGAGCACTTACACACATACACAAACTTACTTGTACATATTTGTAATATCTTATAAAATGTTAATGTACCAGATGGTACTTAAGAATTATAAATGTGGTATGTGCTTTCAGCACAATAATATTGAACTCGAGAGATTGATTTTATTTTGATTGCTGTAATTAATTTAATTTGATAATATACCTCTAGACAACTTACTACTTAATAAATTTATTAAATTTTAATTTCTCTAGTTAGTAGCCTACCAGTTGTAATCCTAAAGCACTAATAATTCGTACTGAATTTAATGGATAATTGGACAAGGATACTGACTACTTGTTACAAAAACCCAGTAACAGGCTGGATGCTAGAAGGGCAGTCCTTTCTAGTATTCACTGGAGATCTCTAAGCTTTTAGAATCGCGTTTTTTGTAACAATGTGTGAGTGTGGTGAAAGTGTTGAATGATGATGAAAGTATTTTCTTTTTGGGGATTTTCTTTCTTTTTTGGGTCACCCTGCCTCGGTGGGAGACGACCAACTTGTTGAAAAAAAAAAAAAAAAAAAAAAAATATATATATATATATAATATATATATATATATATATATATATATATATATATTATATATATATATATATATATATATATATATATATATATATATTTATATTTATATTTTCAATAAGTCGGCCGTCTCCCACCGAGGCAGGGTGACCCAAAAAAGAAAGAACAACACTGCAACTAGCCGGGGGATCAAACCTGTGTTGTTTCAGCCCCCCCTCACGGTGAGCGAACCATGGTACAACACCTAGCTCTGCTGGGTGCGTAATTTTTGTAGGATTAAATGGTCCAGTGGATTAGAGCGTCATGAATTTTCGCTCACCACGAGGTGGGTTAAAACAACACGGGTTTGATTCCCCGGCTAGTCGCAGTCTTGTTATTGATTAAATACCACTCGTTTGCGGTTACAATACTTTGTATGTGTGTGTGTGTGTCAGGGGTCCAAGACTGTTCAACTGCCTCCCAGCTGGTTGTCTTCAAGATCTCTGACAGCAACTCATTGGTACATAATATCGTGGAGTTATACATTATTATAATCAAAACCAAGCACTAAACCCACCAGGTTGGGAGTCATACAATACATGGGGGGTGGAAGGCAATCAGGTTCAGTCTGAGATTAAGAGAGTGGGAGGACAGCTCCAGTACTTTGGATCAAGAGACCTTCACTGGCATCAAGGTACTTATTTCCTTTGAAGAGTTATGGTTGTAACAACTTTAGTCAACTGTCAACTCTTGGTGCTAATATTGAGTCAACTTCCATCTCTGGATGGTGGTCCGAGGCCACAGAAAAGTATTATAATCATAACCATGAGCTAAACCCATCAGGGTTATACAGCACCACAGTAATGAGCTGTGGTGAGTGTAAGAATTTCTGGACATGATTATTTATTCCTAAAAAGAAAATGCTAAACCCACATGGGTCATTCAGCCTGCACATGGGGAAGGTGAGGGGAATCCGAGACATTACTGTATTTTACAGCAAATGAGACGCTCCGGTGTCAAAGGTGCCCCCTTAATTCTGACTGGCTAAAATTTTGGAAAAAAAGATAAATAATACTTTGGCCTCCACAACGGTGAGTAAGTTTTCAAGACGTATTTTGGAGAAAAGTAGCGTCTTCAATGCTGTAAAATATGGTATTTCTGCTTCGACAACTACGGGTCATTTCAAATTAATGTATCATCTTATTAAAATGAGCACGTTGGTACATCTCTATTATTTATCGTATTTTCCAGCATATAAGGTGCATGAATATGCAAGACGATGTTTCCAAACAGCTGTAACCTAACGTTAGTCAACAACTGCTAGAGCAGAGGTCGGGGAACCGGGGTAAATTACCCCAAATGGGGCACAAATGAAAATCTCTGGGGTAATGAATATTCAATAAACATGCTAATAAAACTGCACAAAAATTTATTATTTAGTGAGACAAATTATGAAAGTTATACTTTTGTGAAACAAATAATTTTAGTCAGGTGGATAATTTAGCTGTACACAAACTTGTTTTGGGGAAATACCCAAAAAAGTTCGCCGATGTCTACCGATGTAACCCAAAGAATACCGTCGACCCTGACCTTCAGCATATAAGGCTGATTTTCCAAGACTTTTTGTGGGAAATAAGTGCATCTTATATGCCAGGAAATATGGTATTTCAAATTAAATGGTACCATTATTTACACACTGGCTGATTCCCACCAAGGCAGGGTGACCCGAAAAAGAAAAACTTTCACCATCATTCACTCCATCACTGTCTTGCCAGAAGGGTGCTTTACACTACAGTTTTTAAACTGCAACATTAACACCCCTCCTTCAGAGTGCAGACACTGTACTTCCCATCTCCAGGACTCAAGTCCGGCCTGCCGGTTTCCCTGAACCCCTTCATAAATGTTACTTTGCTGTTGGAGTGTGAGCAAAGTAACATTTATGAAGGGGTTCAGGGAAACCGGCAGGCCGGACTTGAGTCCTGGAGATGGGAAGTACAGTGCCTGCACTCTGAAGGAGGGGTGTTAATGTTGCAGTTTATAAACTGTAGTGTAAAGCATCCTTCTGGCAAGACAGTGATGGAGTGAATGGTGGTGAAAGTTTTTCTTTTTCGGGCCACCCTGCCTTGGTGGGAATCGGCCAGTGTGATAATAAAAAAATAAAAATATTATTTACACAGTTGTGCAAAGGCAAGAGATAAAGATATGAGGTTAAACTACTCATTATTTTAGGCACAAAAAACACTCAACCAACATTAAACTGTTCATATTATAATCATGGTGTAGCACTAAACCCGTAGGGATTATATAGCGCCTGTGGAGGGAGGGGTGGAAGGTATTCAGGGAACTGGAGCACAGATCCAATTCCCCTAGATCAAGAGCCCTCACCAGCATCAAGGAACCTTCCTTGAGGGGTAAACTGTTTGTAATACTTATTAATGAATGTTAGGCAATATATTTAACACAAACTGTTTTTATAATTTTATAGTTTCAATAATAAGCTTCCATAAATTTCTCAATATGACCAGAAAGCAACTGTGTACATAGGAAAACTTCATTTACAGATATTTCACCTCCACAGGGCCCCAGAGCTGGAAGTTGACTCCTGCAACCACATATTGGCGTGTCCGGGCTTGTATCGCATCAACTCGTGTAGGGGCAAAACGTGTGTAAATAAAGCTTTGCACTGGACGAAGTGTCTTCCCATAGTAACGATCGTTGCTATCCAGCGGAATTTCATCACAGGAGAACAACATGGTGGAAACTAAAAGAACTGACAACTTTTAAAATAGATATGATGGACATAGATAATGTCAATGAGTAAAGTTTAAAAGGTTCAAGAGATAGAGTTCAACATATACAAATTCTAAGTAATCACACGTTCATACTATATATATACACACATGCAGGTACATACACATATAAATACACACACATACACTATACAAACAGGTTATACACATACTGTACATACACAACAGAGGTAGAGTCATACACATACTGTACATACATATACATGCAGGTAACAGTACATAACACATATAAAATACTGTATTTACAATTTCAAACCTCGGCTTCCTTGTATTAATTTCAATGTGAAATACAAACCACAAGGAACTAAAAAATGAATGCCACTTATAAAACTAAAAAATTTATTTGCATAGGTACAAGCTTATGGGCTCTGATCATCCATAACCATATCTTCAATGATGAGCGCTGACGACTGACTCTCTGTATGACTCAAGGAATCTCCACCAACATCGGAGGAGTGCATCACTGGTTGACCTGTCACAGAGAAACCAGGCCATTATTCGTTCACTGAATATCGAGGAAGGATTCCCAACCAAAAGAGGCAATCATTACCATTAATTTAGAGAAATGGAAGTTGCAATACCGTGGCTGGAATAATTCATAAATAACCTAACCTGCATTTAGGAAAGGAAATGCAACATTCAAGTCCGCTTGGAACCACTGTCGTCCAAAGTTCCCTCTCCTAAGTTTAAGTTATTTGTGAATTGTAGAATTAATAAATTTTCCAAGCCATTATTGTCTAAAATATCAGATTCATGAATGACTGTTTATGTTCACTCTACGTGAATTGTAGCCCTCAAAACATACGTTATAAATTCTGCATCTTTAATCTGAAAAATCATGAAAGTCGTTTTTTGGGTCACCTTCCTTTAATAGGGAAAAAAGCTAATTTGTATAACAAATCTACACAAAATAAACAAGAGAATTGTAAATGGTATGGTATGGTGATACCGACTATACAACTCATGAAATAGTAATGACATGATTATAAATAAACCAAGGTACAGGCAGGGATTAACTCGTAGTGACTACATAAACTCATTACCAGTTAATTCATAGTGACACATTTCATATAATAAATGTCGTGAACTGTACGTGTCTTTTTCCACACAACAAGAGCAGTGAAACTGACCTATGCTGGAGCCTAAGAGGTTGGTGTCACTAAGGGGATCTTCTGCCGAGGCTGGTGTAATATCACTGGTGTTCGTGTCTGTCCCAACCAGCTCCGACGGAAGGTCCAGCTGGGGCACATTGTCGTCACCTTCACATTGTAAAATCTTTTATCACATATGGGAAAAATAATCACGATTTTGCAATTTTTTTAAACCAATATTTTATGAGACAAAACAATATAACTTGAGACAAAAATATAATGAGGAACTAAACATGAAATGGAAAGTAACACAAAATAAAATTGTATCAATCTATTAATTGGTAATTAAATATATTAGCAACATATGATGACTTTCGTAAAGCCAATTTTTCTCAACGCACCGGCCGTGTCCCACCAAGGCAGGGTGACCTAAAATGAAAAATGAAAGTTTTTCTTTTTAAAATTAATAATTTATTATAGAAGTGGTTTACTAACCCCCTTACTCCTGTCAATAATGCTATTCATTATATTAATGTTGATGAAGTTATTTAATAGAACACAAACCACTGCTTGACAAACCTTAAAAGACCAATCATCATACTTATTAATGACATTTTTTCCTATTTTCTTTTTTTTTTAATTTTTACGCATACAATAAGCAAATACTGTAATTGGTTGAAAAATAATGAAACATTTCTTGGGAATTAACTTATAACGAGTTAATATAAACCCAACAGCAATAGTCAATACTGATCTTCATACAACTTCCTAAATAAACACACAGTAGTGAAATTAAGGAGAAATGTGAAGCACTTTAATTATTGCAACACTGCAAATTATTGCATAGAAGTGGTTAATAGATGTGCTGTTGGAGTGTGAGTAGTGTAACTTTTATGAAGGACTTGGAAAAATAAGTTAGCTGGACTTGAGTCCTGGAGGTGGGAGGGGGCACTCTGAAGGATGGGTTAGGATGCTGCAGTCAGAGGGTAATTTGACTATGATATTAGTACACTTCTGGGAAGACAGTGATTGAAAGAATGATGGTGAATGTGTTTTCTGTTTTGGGTCACCCTGCTTTGGCAAGATTTAGCCAATGAGTTATAAAAAGAAAACAAAATTGACATAACCTCCTGGAGGTGGAAAGTACATTATTATTATAGGGGAGCACTAAACCTGTAAGGATTATATAGTGCCTGTGGGTACGGGGGTACGGAAGGCATTCAGGCTTAATTCAGGGAATTGAAGCACAGATCCAATTCCATAGGTCAAAGAGCCCCTCACAAACATCAAGGAACTTCCCTTGAGGGGTAGAAGTACAGCCTTGCACTCTGGAGGAGTGGTGAACATCTTGCAATTTAAAGGTCACCTAACTTGAGTTGTCAGCACACTTGCAGTACGACAACAACTGAATGAATAACAATCGATGTGTTTTTTTTTTCTAGTCTCCGTACCTCACTGAGACAATTAGTGTGTTAACCCGTAAACGGTCCAAGCAGATCTACGTTCACATGTGTAGTGCTCCAAAAGTAGATCTACGCTTTTTTTACATATTTTCAAATATAAAAAAAAAAAAAAAAAAGATCAAATTTTTTTTTACACATTTTCAAATGTAAAAAAAAAAAAAAAAAGAAGATCTATTTTTTTTACATACTTTCAAATGTTGAAAAAACGTATATATATGTTTGGACCGTTTACGGGTTAAACAAACTTCTTTCAACAAAACCGGCCGTATCCCACCGAGGCAGGGTGGCCCAAAAAGAAAAAGAAAAGTTTCTCTTTTACATTTAGTAATATATACAGGAGAAGAGGTTACTAGCCCCTTGCTCCCGGCATTTTAGTCGCCTCTTACAACACGCATGACTTACGGAGGAAGAATTCTGTTCCACTTCCCCATGGGGATAAGAGGAAATAAACAAGAACAAGAACTAGTAAGAAAATAGCAGAAAACCCAGAGGGGTGTGTATATATATATGCTTGTACATGTATGTGTAGTGTGACCTAAGTGTAAGTAGAAGTAGCAAGACGTACCTGTAATCTTGCATGTTTATGAGACACACAAAAGACACCAGCAATCCTACCATCATGTAAAACAATTACAGGCTTTCGTTTTACACTCACTTGGCAGGACGGTAGTGTTAAACAAACATGTATAAAAAATTGTGAGTTTCAAAAAGTCATCTGAATTGTGATGTGTGTGAATTTCTGGATAGTCTGCTGCAGAATCAGCGATGGTGAATGTGTGTCCTTCCTTGGGTCACAATACCCTGGTGGGAAGTGGGTAGTAAAATAAAAATAATGGTTGCAGCTTACCCTGGAAGGCTGGAGTTTGTGTCATGAGCTGCTCCATGACGGTTGTAAGGAGAGTCGTGGCAGTGGTGTCGTCTCGATGCAATGAAAGTGCCTTATGCAAGGCCACAACAGCTGCTTCGTAGTCTCCCAGGAGTGACTGTACCAAACCTAAGGCTGAATACGTTGATGATACGCCGGGACACAATCGCAATGCCTGAAAAATACATCAAAATAAGTTTCCAGGAAGAAAATAAAATATTACCTCTGCCAAGTGACAGATGAACCAAACTGTATCTGTAAAATAATGATATACAGTACTGACAATACTCCATGGGGAAGTGGAGAAGAATCCTTCCTTCATAAGCCATGTATCATAAGAGGTGACTAAAACACCAGAAGAAAGGGAATAGTAACCCCTTCTCCTGTATAAATTACTAAATATTGGGAGCAAGGTCTTAGTAATACCTTTTTTTTTTTCCAACAAACTGGCCATATCCCACTAAGGAAGGGTGACCTAAAAAGAAAAAAAAGTTTTTCTTTTTAAATTTAGTAATTTATACAGGAGAAGGGTTTACTAACACCTCGTTCTCGGCATTTTAGTCGCCTCTTACGACACGCATGGCTTATGAAATTAAGACACATGTGCAACATCTGGGTATCTTTCTTGTATACATTTCGCCATCCAGTGGCTTTATCAATACAAATTCCAGGACATAACTTGAAGATAGTAGGACTATATACAGAAGATGAGGTAATCAGTCCCTCAACCTAGGAGTAGGTGCGAAGAGCACTGTAGTCGTGGAGATTCTGAAGCAGAAGCAAGGCGCCTGATGCACATGTGTCTTAATTTCATCTTGTCGGTATTGTATACCATTCGTACACAACTTGTCAGACACTGCAACATCATGGAATCTTGATTCTGAGGACATGTACATAACCTTCACGACTACGACAACTACTACTACAACTAACCCATCTCTTTGGGTAGGACCTACTTCCACTGGGGAATCCCGCCTACCAGTGACTATGCCCTCGTCTGCTACCTGTCCCATTTCCACCTGACGTTAGTATATAAGCATCAGGTGCCTTGCTTCTGCTTCAGAATCTCCACGACTACAGTGCTCTTCGCACCTACTCCTAGGTTGAGGGACTGATTACCTCATCTTCTGTACCTAGTTCTACTATCTTCAAGTTATGTCCTGGAATTTGTATTGATAAAGTCACTGGATGGCGAAACGTCTACAATAAAGATACCCAGATGTTGCACATGTGTCTTACTCTCATCTTGTTGGTATTGTATATCATTCTTGTACAACGCATGGCTTATGAAGGAAGAACTCTTCCCCACTTCCCCATGGAGATGAAGAGAAATAAATAAGAAGAAGAACTATTAAGAAAATAGATGAACACTCAGAAGGGTATGTACAGATATTCATGTACATGCACATGAAGTGTAGGTAGAAGAAGCAAGATGTACGTGTTATCTTGTACAACACCATTCAAATTTTATTTAATTATTAAGTGAAACAATGTATACCTACACAATGTTAGAGTAGAGCTTTGTCATTTACAGGATTTTACATTTTTTTTTTTTAACACGTCGGCCGTTTCCCACCGAGGAAGGATGCCCCAAAAAGAAAGAGAAAAACTTTCATCATCATTCAACACTTTCACCATCACTCATACATAATCACTGTCTTTGCAAAGGTGCTCTGATATGACAGCTTAGATGTCCCTCCAAACTATCAATATCCAAAACCAAAAGAAAAGTCTAGCAAACCTAACAGAACAAACCTAACAGAACAAATCTAACAGAATAAACCTAACAGAACAAACCTAACAGAACAAACCTAACAGAACAAACCTAACAGAACAAACCTAACAGAACAAACCTAACAGAACAAACCTAACAGAACAAACCTAACAGAACAAACCTAACAGAACAAACCTAACAGAACAAACCTAACAGTACAAATCTAACAGAACAAACCTAACAGAACAAATTGTTTACAAGGCTTTTGTTTTACACTCCTCGGAAAAGATAATAGTATCTGAGAAGATTCAAGCATATATATACCTTACCACCAATGAGTTTTGGGAGTCTTACTACTCTCGGAGTCTGGCCATGGGCCAGGCTCATTTGGTGCTAGACTGGTCAACCAGTTTGTTGCTGCTGGAGGGCTGCTGCCCCCACATATCCATCACAGCTTGGTTGATCTGCCACCTGGTGAGATACTTGTCCAGTTTTCTCTTGAAGACTTCTACACTTGTTCAAGCTGTGTTTCTGATATCTCTGGTAAGATGTTGAACAGTCTGGGGCCACGTATGTTGACACAGTGTTCCTTATTGTGCCCACCGCACCTCTGCTCCTCACTGGGTTTATTTTGCATTTGATGGGGATTGATGGGATAAAGATAGAAATGTTAAAAGCAGGTGGGGATATAGTTTTGGAGTGGTTGGTGCAATTATTTAATAAATGTATGGAAGAGGGTAAGGTACCTAGGGATTGGCAGAGAGCATGCATAGTTCCTTTGTATAAAGGCAAAGGGGATAAAAGAGAGTGCAAAAATTATAGGGGGATAAATGCAGCAGCGAGGAGACGGTTGGAGGCAGTGGAGATGTCCTGTCTAAGGGCAATGTGTGGTGTAAATATTATGCAGAAAATTCGGAGTGTGGAAATTAGGAGAAGGTGTGGAGTTAATAAAAGCATTAGTCAGAGGGCAGAAGAGGGGTTGTTGAGGTGGTTTGGTCATTTAGAGAGAATGGATCAAAGTAGAATGACATGGAAAGCATATAAATCTATAGGGGAAGGAAAGAGGGGTAGGGGTCGTCCTCGAAAGGGTTGGAAAGAGGGGGTAAAGGAGGTTTTGTGGGTGAGGGGCTTGGACTTCCAGCAAGCGTGCATGAGCGTGTTAGATAGGAGTGAATGGAGACGAATGATACTTGGGACCTGACGATCTGTTGGAGTGTGAGCAGGGTAATATTTAGTGAAGGGATTCAGGGAAACCGGTTATTTTCATATAGTCGGACTTGAGTCCTGGAAATGGGAAGTACAATGCCTGCACTTTAAAGGAGGGGTTTGGGATATTGGCAGTTTGGAGGGATATGTTGTGTATCTCTATACGTATATGCTTCTAAACTGTTATATTCTGAGCACCTCTGCAAAAGCAGTGATAATGTGTGAGTGTGGTGAAAGTGTTGAATGATGATGAAAGTATTTTCTTTTTGGGGATTTTCTTTCTTTTTTGGGTCACCCTGCCTCGGTGGGAGACGGCCGACTTGTTGAAAAAAAAAAAAAAAAAAAAAAAGTCTGTTGAGTGTACCTGGTAAAGTGTATGGTAGAGTTATAATTGAAAGAATTAAGAGTAAGACGGAGAATAGGATAGCAGATGAACAAGGAGGCTTTAGGAAAGGTAGGGGGTGTGTGGACCAGGTGTTTACAGTGAAACATATAAGTGAACAGTATTTAGATAAGGCTAAAGAGGTCTTTGTGGCATTTATGGATTTGGAAAAGGCATATGACAGGGTGGATAGGGGGGCAATGTGGCAGATGTTGCAAGTGTATGGTGTAGGAGGTAGGTTACTGAAAGCAGTGAAGAGTTTTTACGAGGATAGTGAGGCTCAAGTTAGAGTATGTAGGAAAGAAGGAAATTTTTTCCCAGTAAAAGTAGGCCTTAGACAAGGATGTGTGATGTCACCGTGGTTGTTTAATATATTTATAGATGGGGTTGTAAGAGAAGTAAATGCGAGGGTCTTGGCAAGAGGCGTGGAGTTAAAAGATAAAGAATCACACACAAAGTGGGAGTTGTCACAGCTGCTCTTTGCTGATGACACTGTGCTCTTGGGAGATTCTGAAGAGAAGTTGCAGAGATTGGTGGATGAATTTGGTAGGGTGTGCAAAAGAAGAAAATTAAAGGTGAATACAGGAAAGAGTAAGGTTATGAGGATAACAAAAAGATTAGGTGATGAAAGATTGAATATCAGATTGGAGGGAGAGAGTATGGAGGAGGTGAATGTATTCAGATATTTGGGAGTGGACGTGTCAGCGGATGGGTCTATGAAAGATGAGGTGAATCATAGAATTGATGAGAAAAAAAGAGTGAGTGGTGCACTTAGGAGTCTGTGGAGACAAAGAACTTTGTCCTTGGAGGCAAAGAGGGGAATGTATGAGAGTATAGTTTTACCAACGCTCTTATATGGGTGTGAAGCGTGGGTGATGAATGTTGCAGCGAGGAGAAGGCTGGAGGCAGTGGAGATGTCATGTCTGAGGGCAATGTGTGGTGTGAATATAATGCAGAGAATTCGTAGTTTGGAAGTTAGGAGGAGGTGCGGGATTACCAAAACTGTTGTCCAGAGGGCTGAGGAAGGGTTGTTGAGGTGGTTCGGACATGTAGAGAGAATGGAGCGAAACAGAATGACTTCAAGAGTGTATCAGTCTGTAGTGGAAGGAAGGCGGGGTAGGGGTCGGCCTAGGAAGGGTTGGAGGGAGGGGGTAAAGGAGGTTTTGTGTGCGAGGGGCTTGGACTTCCAGCAGGCATGCGTGAGCGTGTTTGATAGGAGTGAATGGAGACAAATGGTTTTTAATACTTGACGTGCTGTTGGAGTGTGAGCAAAGTAACATTTATGAAGGGATTCAGGGAAACCGGCAGGCCGGACTTGAGTCCTGGAGATGGGAAGTACAGTGCCTGCACTCTGAAGGAGGGGTGTTAATGTTGCAGTTTAAAAACTGTAGTGTAAAGCACCCTTCTGGCAAGACAGTGATGGAGTGAATGATGGTGAAAGTTTTTCTTTTTCGGGCCACCCTGCCTTGGTGGGAATCGGCCGGTGTGATAATAAAAAAAAAAATCTCTCACTCCATATACAGTGGAACCTTGGTACTCAATCTTAATCCATTCCAGAAGGCTGTTCGAGTGCCAATCCATTTGAGTTTTGAGTAAATTTTTCCCAACTAATTTTCCTTTTGGTCAGCTGTTATCACTAATCTTCGTAGGCCCCATAGTGACTTTTTTTTTTTCAACAAACTGGCTGCATCCCACCAAGGCAGGGCGGCCCAAAAAGAAAAACGAAAGCTTCTCTTTTTAAATTTAGTAATTTATACAGGAGAAGGGGTTACTAGCCCCTTGCTCCCAGCATTTTAGTTGCCTCCCACAGTGACTTATTTATACAAATACAGTGGACCCCCGCATAACGATTACCTCCGAATGTGGCCAATTATGTAAGTGTATTTATGTAAGTGCGTTTGTACGTGTATGTTTGGGGGTCTGACATGGACTAATCTACTTCACAATATTTCTTATGGGAACAAATTCGGTCAGTACTGGCACGTGAACATACTTCTGGAGTGAAAAAATATCGTTAACCGGGGGTCCACTGTATAAAAAAAATCCAAAAAATGTGAAAAAACACAAAATAGTTTACAGTGAAGTTCTGGCAGGTTGCGTTTGTTTGGTTGAGTGCCGAACTTTGTTCAAATAAGGCGCTACTCCAGTACCAAGGTTCCACCACATGTATACATATACACACACGCATACAAGCGCCGTTACTATACCTGTTGATGGAAGTGAAGAGCCTCTTCGTATTTCTGTAGTTTTCGACAGTTATGAGCCAGGTTATTTAATAAGGCCGCCCATTTCTCTGGTACGACCACAACACCACTCTCTTCTACTAATGCCACAGCGCGTCGCAAGTATACGTCCGCTGACACATATCTGTTGACACAAGATTTTCTGATCACAAAATAGGATAGTCATGTTTAATTACATTTATTCAGAACATATAAAGTAGTCCCTGTGTTCTAAATAAGGAATGGGATGTTACAGTGCTGCACTCTGAAGGATGAGTGAGGATGTTACAGTGCTGTACTCTGAAGGATGAGTGAGGATGTTACAGTTCTGGAGGTGGGAAGTACAGTACCTGTACTCTGAAGGATGAGTGAGGATGTTACAGTTCTGGAGGTGGGAAGTACAGTACCTGTACTCTGAAGGATGAGTGAGGATGTTACAATTCTGGAGGTGGAAGTACAGTACCTGTACTCTGAAGGATGAGTGAGGATGTTACAGTTATGGAGTGGGAAGTACAGTACCTGTACTCTGAAGGATGAGTGAGGATGTTACAATTCTGGAGGTGGGAAGTACAGTACCTGTACTCTGAAGGATGAGTGAGGATGTTACAATTCTGGAGGTGGGAAGTACAGTACCTGTACTCTGAAGGATGAGTGAGGATGTTACAGTTCTGGAGGTGGGAAGTACAGTACCTGTACTCTGAAGGATGAGTGAGGATGTTACAGTTATGGAGGTGGGAAGTACAGTACCTGTACTCTGAAGGATGAGTGAGGATGTTACAATTCTGGAGGTGGGAAGTACAGTACCTGTACTCTGAAGGATGAGTGAGGATGCTACAATTCTGGAGGTGGGAAGTACAGTACCTGTACTCTGAAGGATGAGTGAGGATGTTACAGTTCTGGAGGTGGGAAGTACAGTACCTGTACTCTGAAGGATGAGTGAGGATGTTACAATTCTGGAGGTGGGAAGTACAGTACCTGTACTCTGAAGGATGAGTGAGGATGTTACAATTCTGGAGGTGGGAAGTACAGTACCTACACTCTGAAGGATGAGTGAGGATGTTACAATTGAAGGATACTCTAATTACACTGGCACACACTTGACAAGATGGCAATCTAATATATATAATGGTGAATGCGTTTGCTTCTCTGGGTCACTCTGCCTCAGCTGGAGATGGTGTTTTCTGTCCTAAATTCAAGTGAGATACACAGGATTTGGCATCATTGCTCAATGTCTTCCACAGAAGAAATTAAAGGTATACAGAAATCACTGTAAATGCAACCATGTACATAGCCCAGAACCTAGCCTGCTGCAACAGCAGGGCCCGACCATATTGTACATTTTTTGGGCATAAAGTGCTGTACTTCCCATCTCCAGGACTCAAGTCCGGCCTGCCGGTTTCCCTGAACCCCTTCATAAACATTTATGAACGGGTTCAGGGAAACCGGCAGGCCGGACTCGAGTCCTGGAGATGGGAAGTACAGTGTCTGCACTCTGAAGGAGGGGTGTTAATGTTGCAGTTTAAAAACTGTAGTGTAAAGCACCCTTCTGGCAAGACAGTGATGGAGTGAATGATGGTGAAAGTTTTTTCTTTTTCGGGCCACCCTGCCTTGGTGGGAATCGGCCAGTGTGATAATAAAAAAAAAAAAATAAAGTGCTGTGCCCAGGGATCTCCTTTAACCTTATTCTTTGTGCCCAGGGATCTCCTTTAACCTTATTCTTTCTGAAAGTTATTAACTAGGCAGTTTTGTCTACACATCAGTTTTACAAGCCCAGCTCTAAGGCAGGGGCGGGTAAACTTTTTAGTGCTATCAGCTGGGAACTGTACTTGCCTGATAATGCTTGTGTAACAGCTCGTGTTTTCAACAGAGGAAAATGAACAAAGTTTTTCTCATTAAGCTGCATATACGTAAGTATATACAATTTTGCTCATTAAGCTGCATATACGTAATTATGTGACTTGATTTTGGGGAGGCCACATGAAAACCTTCGGTGGGCCATATGTGGCCTGCGGGCCACAGTTTTCCCACCCTGATCTAAGGTATACTACCACCCCCAGGATGCCACCCAAACCAGTGAACTAACACCCAGGTACCTACCTATTACTAGGTGAACAGGGGCAGGAGGCTTAAGAAACATGCCCATTATTATTATTATAATCAAGGGGGAGTGCTAAACCTGTAGGATTATGCAGCTCCTGTGGTGGGGAATGTGGAAGGTATTCAGGCTTAATTCAGGGAACTGGAGTGCAGATCCAATTCCCTAGATCATGAGCCCCTCACCAGCATCAAGGAGTCTTCCTTGAGGGGATGAACATGACCAGCATTTGTACCTGTACCGGGGATTAAACCATAATCACTCGGTATGTGAGTCAAGAGTACAGTGGACCCCCGCATAACGATTACCTCCGAATGCGACCAATTATGTAAGTGTATTTATGTAAGTGCGTTTGTACGTGTATGTTTGGGGGTCTGAAATGGACTAATCTACTTCACAATATTTCTTATGGGAACAAATTCGGTCAGTACTGGCACCTGAACATACTTCTGGAGTGAAAAAATATCGTTAACCGGGGGTCCACTGTACTACTAAGTCAGTTTTTTCTAACTTAAGAAGGATCACTGCAGCAGAACTACTAGCCCATGCTAGGAAGGCCCAACTCACACTCATTCATGTACTTGTCTAACCTATTTTTAAAGTTATACGAGGTTTTAGCTTTGGTGACGCTACTCAGGAGTTTGTGAGTTATACTAAATGTAATATTCTTTGCTACCTCTCTACCGTAATAATACCTAATTAAAATTTACCACTCAACCTGTATCTAATCAAAAGTTTTGTTTTTCCAACAAATCGGCCATATCCCACAAAAAGAAAAACAAAAGTTTTTCTTTTTAAAATTAGTAATGTATACAGGAGAAGAGGTTACTAGCCTCTTGCTCCCGGCATTTTAGTCGTCTCTTACGACACACACGGCTTATGGAGGAAGAATTCTTTTTCACTTCTCCATGGAGATGTAAAACTTTATCTCTCAAAGAACAAAAAGGAATAATAATGTGACTGGAACAATACACAAATAACCCACACATAGGAGAGAGGAACTTACAATGACGTTTCGGTCCATCTTGGACCATTTACAAAGTCACACTAATTCACTCTCTTGTGCTAGCGTGACTGTAAATGATCCAAGTCAGACCAAAACATCTTGGACTGAAACATCTATGTGAGAATTATCTGTGTAACATAACTATTGTTGTGCTCACTCTTGATTGCTGAAAGCTACGACTCCGAGCTCATGCAAGACAAATGGATCTTCCGGCGCTATTTCTAAAGCCTCCTTGAAGAACTTCTCTGCAAACTTCGGGTTGTTTGTAAGGCCATATTCCATACCAATATACAACAGCGGAAGATGACAGCCTTTCATAAGCTGAGCCGCCTTGAAGTAAGCGGCCATAGCTTGGTCGTGCTCATTCTCGGCCGCAAATGAGTGGCCATATGCTATCCAGGCTGGCCCAAACACTCTGTCTAGCGCTGTTGCTTTACTCAAGTACCGGCGGGCCTGCTCATTCTTACCTAGAACAAAAAAGAACAAAAAAAGGCACAATATCGTAACTGGAACAATACAAAAAGTAAATATTTCATTTTATTGATTACTAACAAATAAATTTATTATTATATATCAGTCCAGTGAAGGGATTCAGGGAAACCGGTTATTTTCATATAGTCGGACTTGAGTCCTGGAAATGGGAAGTACAATGTCTGCACTTTAAAGGAGGGGTTTGGGATATTGGCAGTTTGGAGGGATATGTTGTGTATCTTTATACGTATATGCTTCTAAACTGTTGTATTCTGAGCACCTCTGAAAAAGCAGTGATAATGTGTGAGTGTGGTGAAAGTGTTGAATGATGATGAAAGTATTTTCTTTTTGGGGATTTTCTTTCTTTTTTGGGTCACCCTGCCTCGGTGGGAGACGACCGACTTGTTGAAAAAAAAAAAAAATATCAGTCCAGGGCAACTGAGCATATAAGACCTTCAAATTTACCGAAATACAAGACAGAAATACAAGACAGAAATACAAGACAGAAATACAAGACAGAAATACAAGACAGAAATACAAGACAGAAATACAAGACAGGAATACAAGACAGAAATACAAGACAGAAATACAAGACAGAAATACAAGACAGAAATACAAGACAGAAATACAAGACAGAAATACAAGACAGAAATACAAGACAGAAATACAAGACAGAAATACAAGACAGAAATACAAGACAGAAATACAAGACAGAAATACAAGACAGAAATACAAGACAGAAATACAAGACAGAAATACAAGACAGAAATACAAGACAGAAATACAAGACAGAATTTACTGGGTTAACTGATGAAGAAATAACTGATGGAGTTCAGTGGTTAAACAACTGTCTGATGTAAAAATTTTTTTGCTACCTCTACTATGAATTTTTACCAGTTTTTTTTTTTGTAATAATATACAGTTAAAATTTGCACTCCATAACCTATGTCTAATTTTAAGGGGGACGTAAGTTCCCCGTCTTCTAATAACATGTTCATTTATCTACTATAATCTATTTATTATTTTTTATTTTTTTTTATTATCACACTGGCCGATTCCCACCAAGGCAGGGTGGCCCGAAAAAGAAAAACTTTCACCATCATTCACTCCATCACTGTCTTGCCAGAAGGGTGCTTTACACTACAGTTTTTAAACTGCAACATTAACACCCCTCCTTCTTGTCCATAATTACCATCACATTTTCTTTGTCTGTTTCATAAGGTGAAGTCCAGGATCTTTCCTTAATTCATGATATAACTTGACAAATCTTCGAGGACAATTGTGTTGCAGAGACCTGAAGTAAAGAAAGATCCCGGACTTCACCTTACAAAACAGACAAAGCAAATGCAATAGTAATTATGAACAAGGTAGATTATAGTGGAAAATGAACGTGATGTTAGAAGACGGGGCAACTTACGTGCCTCTCAAGTACAGTGGACCCCGCATAACGATTACCTCCGAATGCGACCAATTATGTTAGTGTATTTATGTAAGTGCGTTTGTACGTGTATGTTTGGGGGTCTGAAATGGACTAATCTACTTCACAATATTCCTTATGGGAATAAATTCGGTCAGTACTGGCACATGAACATACTTATGGAGTGAAAAAATATCGTTAACCGGGGGTCCACTGTATTGTGTAAGCATTAAGATCAGTCTGCGGGAAATGCTCATGTATGTTAGTGGCTTTTTTATTAATAATACTTTATTACATGTAAGCTATAGTTTGTATACTATACAAAAAATTTTGTTTTTCCTTTTGGGCCACCCGACCTCAGTGGGATACGGCTGGTACGTTGAAAGAAAGAAAAAAGACAAAGAAATAAAAATTTTAAATGTGTTTAATAAATGTAACAATCATGGCAAACAATCTTGTTTCTACCCACGACAATCACTATTACCAGCCACCTGTTACCCCCTTTCCCATTAGTCCACTATATCGAAGATTTACTGAAGTTTTGAGTCGTGCCACCTGTTACCCCCTTTCCCATTAGTCCACTATATCGAAGATTTACTGAATTTTTGAGTCGTGACACAGTTACCATATTTTTTTTTAACACATCGGTCGTTTCCCACGGAGGCGGGGTGATCCAAAAAAAGAAGAGACACTTTTATCGTCACTCACTCTATCACCGTCTTGCCAGAGGCATGCCAATACTACAGCTCAAAAATTGCAACATATAGTTACCTATGAGATAATAATAACAGCCAACAGCAAACCAAGCAAGTGCACTTTCAGGGTACAAATCCACCAATTTATGGGCCAGCAGAAACAATGCTGCAAAGAAATATTAAGGTTAATAAAAAAGCTATACACTTGTCAAGAAAATCTGAGTATGGTAGAGCCCCCGTATCTGTGGATTCGGTTTCTGTGGTTTATTGCAGCCCAAGAATAACCCCTAATTTTGCATAATAATGGTAATAATGGCCCCAAAGCACAAAAGTAGAGAAGGTGACAGTTCTTCAAAACCTAAAAAAAAACCCGTGAAGTGCTGCCAATCAGTGCTAATTCTCCACTTGTTATGAATTATTTATTAATTAAACTTTATCACAGATATGTAGAATTAGCAATGTGAAAAAACAGTAAAATTCCAAGTGCTTTCATGATTTCTCTCATTATCAAGGAACTTTCAAAGTTATATATGTAAATGAAAAAGAATTTCTCCATGGGGAGGTGGAAGAGAATTCTTCCTCCGTAAGCCATGAGTGTCATAAGAGGCGACTAAAATGCCAGGAGCAACAGGCTAGTAACCCCTTCTCCTATATATGTTACTGAAGTTAAAAAGAGAAACTTTTGTTTTTCCCTTTTTAGGCCACCCTGTCTTGGTGGGATATGGCCAATTTGCTGAAAGAAAAAAAATAGTAAAAAGAATTATGTATAGGGTTCGCTATTATCTACCATTTCAGGTATCCACGGTAAGTCTACGAACGTTTCCCTGCAGATAAGAGGTGACTTCTGTACCACACTTTCCGGCATATAAGACGCACAACACAAGTATCATAACAGTAAATCAGTAATCACATTCAAGGGTTAATTACCCTCTTACTTTATGGTAAAGTGCAACACAAAGTCTACCCTTGACTCTGACCTTGAGCATATAAGGTGCAGGCTCATTTTCCAAGATTTTTTGTGGGAAAAAAGAAGCAACTTATACGCTGGAAAATATGGTAAATATTCTTCTTCTTTCAACAAACTGGCTGTATCCCACCAAGACAGGGTGACCCAAAAACAAAAACAAAAGTTTCTCTTTTTAAATTTAGTAATTTATACAGGAAAAGGGGTTACCAGCCACTTGCTACAGTAAATATCGTAAACAACAAACTCAAATAATATTAAGAAAAAGTCAAAGTATTGAAACGTTATATGCAGTGGCGGCTCGTAGTGCCAGTAATACCTATACTATTGTACCGCATCAAACTTCTAATTTTAATCATTTTTTATCTCGTTTCAACAAAAAAAAAAAAATAAAAATTCGCTTACAAATATATTGAAAACAACATACAACAAATTTTTCCTGTAATAGATTTGTCAGTTGCAAATTATTTTAGCGTACGGTTGATGAAGTAATGTGTCTGGCAGTGAGCATCTGGGGGACTGCAGCTCCTATGGACAACCCTTCACTGATTATATGTAAAACCTGAAGAATGAATTATGGAGAGAGTTGACGTATCTTGATAACTGGGTCTGTGTTGGCTCTAAGTTTATTCAGGTACAGGTACACATAAGTACAATCATCATACACAGTAACATGCAAAATAACTACTGTGAAAAGAATAGTGAATTTCCAAGCACCTGGAAATTCACTATTTTTCACAGTAGTTATTTCTGCATACTGTGATATCATGTTTCCTGTGATCTTATTACACATAGTAACATATGTGTAAACTGCAAAGGATAGCACCAAAAAAGTCTCTATCAAAAGCCTTACTAAGATCCAAGTGTTGCATGTGTTTTATTCGTCAGGAAATACACATGGTACACTTGATGGCTGCCATCAAATGTTACCATAACACCATATGCAGGATGCTGACTTATATGTGTCAAGTGTTCCACTGTTTTTGTTCATAAAGCATCTGAATTAAACGCAGTATCTACGATTCATGAAATTGTAATAACACGATTGTAAACACGGTGGAGGTTTTCAGGGGACTTGAGCTAAAGTTCATCGTGGCCACACTAGCAGGATATTCATCTGTGGTGGAGGGGTAAGCCAGTGGAAGGCCTTGCTCAGATGACCAAAAGCTCCAGCTGTGGTCATCATATGACTAAGACCTGCACCAGGAAACACTTATCCAGTTTCCTGACAAACCTTACCTATCGTTCACTCATGTCTTAGCAGAAGGGTGCTGACACTACAGTTCAGGTGGCACTCCCAAACTGTAACATCTTTATTTGTCCTTCAGAGTGCAGGCACAGTATAGTACAAAATCTGACACTAACTGTTTAGAAGATACTGAAATTGAACAAGAATCCTGAGAAAATCAAAGTAACACACAATGAACTCTTTCTTCTTTCAACACACTGGCTGTCTCCCACCGAGGCGGGGCGGCCCAAAAAGAAAAACAAAAGTTTCTCTTTATATATTTAGTAATGTATACAGAAGGGGTTACTAGTCCCTTGCTCCTGGCATTTTAGTTGCCTCTTATGACACACATGGCTTACGGAGGAAGAATACAATGAACACTTACCATAATATACAGACTTTGCTGTCCCATAAAAGACATCAGGTTATATCAAAATAAAACAAAAAAGAATCAGAAATTACAGGCCCAGTAGACAGAGTTTAGCACTTAGCCCATTGAGTTTAGCACTTAACATTAAACAAAAAAGGTTGAGATACAGATGTATTGCAATATCAAGTATAAAGTCCTTAGTAGATACTTACTATTAGACTGCTTGAGTTCCACTAGACAAGAAACATGTATAGGCAGACAACCAGTGTGATACGGATCTTTCTTCAGTACTCTGCAAAGAAATTCCTGTATGTTATATAATGAATGATTCAGTGAATCACTATAACTTATATGCATCTTTCTCACTACAAATCAAGGGCCTTCTGGCTTAAACTTCGTATCCAAGAACTTATTTTTTTTTTAACACACCAGCCATCTCCCACCAAGGCAAGGTGACATAAAAAAGAAAAACAAAAGTTTCTCTTTTTAAATTTAGTAATGTATACAGGAGAAGGGGTTACTAGCCCCTTGCTCCCGGCATTTTAGTCGCCTCTTACAACACACATGACTTACAGAGGAAGAATTCTGTTCCACTCAGCTCACACATTGAGGTCTGGGGTTCGATCCCTGGTATGAGGGAAAACATTAGGAGGTACAGTGGCACCCTGAGTTTCGAACTTATTTCATTCCAGATGGCTGTCCAAGTGCCAATACCGAACAAATTTGTTCCCATAAGGAATAATGTAAATTAAATTAGTCCGTTTCAGACCCCCAAATTATTATTATTATAATCAAAAAGGGGTGTGTGGACCAGGTGTTTACAGTATTTAGAAACATATTAATAAGTGAAAAGTCTTTTGCATTAAGATTTGAAAGGGTATGACAGGGTGGATAGGGGGGCAATGTGGCAGATGTTGCAAGTGTATGGTGTAGGAGGTAGGTTAGTGAAAGCAGTGAAGAGTTTTTACGAGGATAGTGAGGCTCAAGTTAGAGTATGTAGGAAAGAGGGAAATTTTTTCCCAGTAAAAGTAGGCCTTAGACAAGGATGTGTGATGTCACCGTGGTTGTTTAATATATTTATAGATGGGGTTGTAAGAGAAGTAAATGCGAGGGTCTTGGCAAGAGGCGTGGAGTTAAAAGATAAAGAATCACACACAAAGTGGGAGTTGTCACAGCTGCTCTTTGCTGATGACACTGTGCTCTTAGGAGATTCTGAAGAGAAGTTGCAGAGATTGGTGGATGAATTTGGTAGGGTGTGCAAAAGAAGAAAATTAAAGGTGAATACAGGAAAGAGTAAGGTTATGAGGATAACAAAAAGATTAGGTGATGAAAGATTGAATATCAGATTGGAGGGAGAGAGTATGGAGGAGGTGAACGTATTCAGATATTTGGGAGTGGACGTGTCAGCAGATGGTCTATGAAAGATGAGGTGAATCATAGAATTGATGAGGGAAAAAGAGTGAGTGGTGCACTTAGGAGTCTGTGGAGACAAAGAACTTTGTCCTTGGAGGCAAAGAGGGGAATGTATGAGAGTATAGTTTTACCAACGCTCTTATATGGGTGTGAAGCATGGGTGATGAATGTTGCAGCGAGGAGAAGGCTGGGTCGTGGAATGAGTCTGAGGGCAATTGTGGAATGAATATAGCAGAAATTGTAGTTGGTGATTAGGAGGCGTGGGACAAGAACTTTGTCCAGGGCTAGGAAGGGTTGGAGTGTTCGGAAGTACATACATTGATTACATACCAGTGACTCGTATATGGTGTGTAAGCATGTGTGATGAATAGTTGCAGCAGAGAAAGCTGGAGCATGATGAATTCATGTCTAGCATTGTATGGTGTAATAAATCAAAGAAATTGAGTTGGAAGTTAGGAAAGCTAGCTGTCAATTTAAAAAGTTGGTCCTACGCTGAAAAGTTGTATATGGTCTTCCGTACATGTAGAGAAAAGAAAAAAAAAAAAAAAAAAACAGAATGACTTCAAGAGTGTATCAGTCTGTAGTGGAAGGAAGGCGGGGTAGGGGTCGGCCTAGGAAAGGTTGGAGGGAGGGGGTAAAGGAGGTTTTGTGTGCGAGGGGCTTGGACTTCCAGCAGCATGCGTGAGCGTGTTTGATAGGAGTGAATGGAGACAAATGGTTTTTAATACTTGACGTGCTGTTGGAGTGTGAGCAAAGTAACATTTATGAAGGGATTCAGGGAAACCGGCAGGCCGGACTTGAGTCCTGGAGATGGGAAGTACAGTGCCTGCACTCTGAAAGAGGGGTGTTAATGTTGCAGTTTAAAAACTGTAGTGTAAAGCACCCTTCTGGCAAGACAGTGATGGAGTGAATGATGGTGAAAGTTTTTCTTTTTCGGGCCACCCTGCCTTGGTGGGAATCGGCCAGTGTGATAATAAAAAATAATAATAAATAAAAAAGAAGTGCTAAGCCACAAGGGCTATACAGCTCAGACCCCCAAAAAAGTACCCCCAAAAATACACTTACAAACGCACTTACACAAATACACTTACATAATTCTTCGAGTTGGGAGCAGTTCGAAACTAGGGTACCACTGTATTTCGTTAAGGCACCTGCTGTTAATGTTCACCTAGCAGTAAAACAGATACCCAAGTGTTAGTCGACCGGTGTGGGTCGCATCCTGGGGACAAAACTGACCTTATTTGCTCGAAATGCTCTGCATAACAAGGGGCTGTCTATATACAGTAAAACCTTGGTATGCAACCTTAATTCATTCCAGAAGGCTGTTCGAGTGCCGCTCCATTTGAGTATCGAACAAGTTCTTCCCAACCAATTTTCTGTTTGGTTGGCTGTTATCACTAATCTTCGCAGGCCCCATGGAGACTTATTTATACAAATAATACAAAAACAACACCAAAAATGTGAAGAAACACGATATAGTTTACAGTGAAGTTCTGGCAGGTTGTATTTGTTTGGTCGAATGCTGAGCTTTGTTCGAGTAGGGCGGTGGTTGTACACCAAGGTTCGACCGTAGCACGATGTCAGCTACGGTCTGTACGCCTTGTACATAACCATTATCATCACTATTATAGTAGAACTTGTTATATTTAAGGCACTGATTTATGAAAAAAATTTTTTTTTATCAGACTGGCGGTCTCCCACCAAGTCAGTGTGACCTGAAGAAGAAGAACCCAAAGTTCTTCTTTTTTTTATATTTAGTAACATGAAAACAATCAATAAAATTATGACTTTTTTTTCTTGTTTATTAAGGCATCTTCCTGTGATCAAAAAAAACCATTGGAATATCCAGAGAAATGTTATTTGAAAATATTGAAGGTAAACATATAGAAAAACATTAATGGAAAATAAGAAACGACTCATGAAATCGTAATAACACAACTGCAAACCACAGAACAGGTTGGGTTTGAAACCATAATGGGCACAGTTGAAAAGTTAAATGCTGACCCCAGAGCTTTACAAACTCATCTCTACACTTGAAGGTCACAAGAATTACATTACCTAAACAAAAATCAATTTTTTTTTTCATATATTAACTCTTGCAATAAGATCACAGTAAACAGGTGATATTACAATAAACAGAACAACAACTGTGAAAATAGTGAATTTCCGAGCGTTTTTATTATTTCTTACAGTTCCTTCATAATGTGAGAAATTATGAAAATACTTGGAAGTTTACTATACTTTTTACAGTGGTTGTTCTGCATACTAACTCTTGCGTTAATCGGTAACACTGAGCAAAATTGCAGTTATAGTAGAGTTTTTCGGCTTGCGCCGTGATAAAGTCGGCATTAGACGCCAGGGGAGCTGCTGGCTGCGTCAGTGGCTCACTAGGAGAGCTGTATTTATTCACTCTCGTTTCGTACACGGCCAATACTATTGCACTCTCTGCCTCACTGCAACTCTGGGAGAGTGGAAGGGACGACAGGAGATCCTTTTCTGCAAGAAAAACAAGAACCCTCACTTTAAAAAAATAATTAGTTTTGATACAAACATTTTAACTTTTAAAAAAGATTTACAAAATACTGTACAGTGGACCCCCGGTTTACCATCAGCTCCCAATGCGACCAATTATGTAAGTGTATTTATGTAAGTGCATTTGTATGTGTATGTTTGGGGGTCTGAAATAGACAAATCTAATTCACAACATTCCTTATGGGAACAAATTCGGTCAGTAATGGCACCTGAACATACTTATGGAATGAAACAATATCGTAAATCGGGGGTCCACTGTATTTTCTAATGCATAGCCTATCCTCACTTAGCGACGTACTCATTTACTGGGTCTTAGGAACGCAAGATTTAAAGAACAAAAAGGCAGAATACTGTGACTGGAACAATACACAAATAACCCGCACAAAGGAGAAAGAAATTTATGACGATGTTTCGGTTCAACTTGTACTATTAACTGGTGTGTGATTAGTTATTAATTAAAGTCAGACCAAAACATCATCATACCTTCTCCTATGTGTGGGCTGTTAGTGTAATGTGAAAGATAGATATATATATATCTATAGGTAGTGGGTTGGTAGACAGCAACCGCCCAGGGAGGTACTACCGTCCTGCCAAGTGAGTGTAAAATGGAAGCCTGTAATTGTTTTACATGATGGTAGGATTGCTGGTGTCTTTTTTTCTGTCTCATAAACATGCAAGATTTCAGGTACGTCTTGATACTTCTACTGACACTTAGGTCACACTACACATACATGTACAAACATATATGTACACACCCATCTTGGTTTTCTTCTATTTTCTTTCTAGTTCTTGTTTATTTCCTCTTATCTCCATGGGGAAGTGGAACAGAATTCTTCCTCCGTAAGCTGTGCGTGTTGTAAGAGCCGACTAAAATGCCGGGAGCAAGGGGCTAGTAACCCCTTCTCCTGTATATATTACTAAATGTAAAAGGAGAAACTTTCATTTTTCCTTTTGGGCCACCCCGCCTTGGTGGGATACGGCCGGTTTGTTGAAAGAAAGAATATATATATTTTTTTTTTTAACAAGTCGGCCGTCTCCCACCGAGGCAGGGTGACCCAAAAAAGAAAGAAAATCCCCATAAAGAAAATACTTTCATCATCATTCAACACTTTCACCACACTCGCACATTATCACTGTTTTTGCAGAGGTGCTCAGAATACAACAGTCTAGAAGCATACGCATATAAAGATACACAGCATATCCCTCCAAACTGCCAATATCCCAAACCCCTCCTTTAATTAAAGTGCAGGCATTGTACTTCCCATTTCCAGGACTCAAGTCCGACTATATGAAAATAACCGGTTTCCCTGAATCCCTTCACTAAATATTACCCTGCTCACACTCCAACAGATCGTCAGGTCCCAAGTACCATTCGTCTCCATTCACTTCCTATCTAACACGCTCACGCACGCTTGCTGGAAGTCCAAGCCCCTTGCCCACAAAACCTCCTTTACCCCCTCTCTCCAACCCTTTCGAGGACGACCCCTACCCCGCCTTCCTTCCCCTATAGATTTATATGCTTTCCATGTCATTCTACTTTGATCCATTCTCTCTAAATGACCAAACCACCTCAACAACCCCTCTTCTGCCCTCTGACTAATACTTTTATTAACTCCACACCTTTTCCTAATTTCCACGCTCCGAATTTTCTGCATAATATTTACACCACACATTGCCCTTAAACAGGAAACTCCACTGCCTCCAACCGTCCCCTCGCGTTTCTTTTCCCCACCCAACTTCAACCCTTTATTAGAGGGGAAGGTATACTAACTTTCATACATTCCCTTTTTTTTGCCTCCAAAAGATAACTTTTTTTTGACCCCACTTTTACCCCCAACGCCCCACTCCCCCTTTTTTTCCCTCATCAATTCTATGATTAACCTCACCCTTTCATAAATCCTTTCCCCCCGACACGCAACTCCCAAGTTTTCTAAAAAATTTTCCTTCTTCCATACCCCTTTCCCCCCCCCCAATTTTGGAACCCAATTTTTTTTTATCAAAACATTTATCCCCCTAAATAAACCTTTTACTCTTTTCTATTTTCCCACTTTAAATTTTTTCCCCTTTCCCACAAAATTCTAAAAACCAAATCCACAAACCTTGTAATTTTTCTTTAAAATCTCCCTTTAAGCACGGGAATCTCAGCAAAAGAAACCCTTGTAAATTTCCCCATTTTGAATTTGATTCCCCAAAATTTAACCCCCAACCCCTCTCCCGAACCCCCTACATTTATTTTCTTTTGAACCCCACCTAAAAATTAAAAAACCATGGTGCATTAAAACCATCCCTGTCTAAGCCCTACAATTTTCCCCCGGGAATTTATTCTCCCTCTCTTTACACACCCTAACCTAAAACCTCACTATCCTCAAAAAAGGGTTTTTTTAAACCCCAGCATTTAGTAACTTCCCACCATTCCATAAATTTTCAACATCTGCCACATTGCTCCCCCTACCACTCTATCATTCCCTTTTCTAACCCAAAAATTTCAAAAAAAACCCCTTCCCTCCCTTTTAAATCTAAATACTGTTCACTTTTATATGTTTTCAATGAAAAACATTTGTTTAAACACATCCTCTACCCACCTGAACCCTCCTTGCTCACCCCAAATTTAAAAATTTCTGTTTCCCTCTAATTTTTTCAATTTAACCCTCCCGTATATTTTTCCTTTGGATACTCAGTAAATTTAATTCCTCTATAATTTTTAAATCTTTTTGTCCCCTTTCCCTTTAAAATAAAGGGACTTACATGCTCTCTGCCAATCCTAGGTCCCTTTTCCCCTCTTTCTTTAACATTTTTTAAAAAAAAAGTACCAACCACCCAACACAATTTTCCCCCCCTGTTTTAACATTTCTGTCAGATCCCATCAGTTCCCCTGCTTTCCCCCCCTTTCTTTACGAAATGCCTCACGAAACCTCCACCCACATTTAAATTCTGCTCTTTTTCATTCCTAAAAGAGGGAAAAAACCTCCCTGGCCAGTGCAAAAAATTTTAACCCCTTTCCCTTTTTTTTCCTAACTTTTAAAAAGTCCTCAAAATATTCTCCCCAACTACCTAATCCCTTTCCCTCTCCCCTTTCTACTAACCCCCCTCCCTTTTTTTTAAAAAAGGGAAAAATTTCCCCTTTTTTCCCCTAGGCTTTTTTTAACTTGTTTAACTCACCCCCAAAATTTTTTTCTTTTTTTCCCTTTAAAAAATTTCTTGACGGGCCCTCCCCCCACCTTTTTTTCTGCCCCTCCTTTTGCACTCTCTCACCACCCTTTTCCCCTTTCTTTTTACCCCCTCCATATACTCTGCTCTTCTTAAAAACTTCCCCTTTTTAAAAAAACCCCTCTAAAAAGTTTCCTTTTTTCTCTTTTACCCACCCCCTTTACTTTCACCCCCCCCCCCCCCCCCCCTTCCCCCTTCACCCTCTTTCCCCCCCCTCCCCCCCCTTCCTAAAACCAAAAAACTTCTGCCCCACATTTAAATACTCCCTTTTTAAAACTTTTCCAACCCTCTTAAACCCCCCCCCCACACTCATCTTTGCACAACCCCATTTCCCGCCAAAAATTCCTTATATCTTGCCCAAAATTTTCCCCCTCCCTTATTTTAAATACCTTTCCCTCCCTCTTACTTGTTGTTCCCACCTTCCTCTTTTCCCATCTTAAACCCCACTCTAAAATGTAGCTACAACTAAATAATGATCGAAATATCTTTTCCCCCCTATAAAAAAAAAAATGTACCCTCCTGGGGCCTTTCCAATCAAACCCCTTTTAAACCACCAATACATAATTCTAACAAAAATACTTTTATTACGTGCTACATCAAACCCTTTTTAAAATTAAATTTTTCCTCTTTTCAAAAAATATGTATTTCTTTTTACCAAATTTCTTTTACACATAGATCAATTTTAAAAGGTCCCCCTTTTCATTTACCCCCCCCCGGGGGCCCCCCAAAATTTCCCTAACTCTTTTCCCCCATAAAATTTTTTCCCACTTTAGCAATTTAAATCCCCAACCCCCCATTACTCTACACTTGATTCAAAACCCCCCCATGCATTCACTCAACATTTTCCAAATCTCTCTCTCTCCCCTACCCCTTCCTCTTCCTCCCCTGGTCAAAACACCCCTTACTATAAAACCCCCTTTTCACATCCAAACTTTATTTTAAAATCCACGTAATCCTTGAACTTTTATAATAATATATAAATATATATATTTTATATATATATATATTATATTTTTTTTTTTTTTTTCAACAAACCGGGGTGTGTCCCCCCCAAGGGGGGTGGTCCCCCAAAAAAAAAAACGAAAGTTTTTTCCCTTTTTTTTTTTAGTAATTTATCGGGGAAGGGGTTACTAGCCCCTTGCTCCCGGCATTTTAGTGCCCCCTACAACACGCATGGGTTACGGAGGGAAAAATTCTGTTCCACTTCCCCCATGGGGATAAGAGGAAAAAAACAACAAAAAACTAAAAGAAAATAGAAGAAAAAACCCGAGGGGTTTGTATATTCACATATATTGGGTTGTACATGTATGGGGGTTTTTTACCTAAGTTTTAAGTTTTTAAGTTAAAAAAGAGGTACCGAAATTTTTGCATGTGTATGAGACCGAAAAAAAGGGCCCAGCAATCCTTTCCAAACTGCAAAACAATTACAGGCTTTTTTTTTTAACTCACTTGGCAGGACGGTAGTACCCCCGGGCGGTTGCTGCTACCACCCTAAATATATATTAATTTTTTTTTTTTTTTTTTTTCAAAAAGCGGCCGTTTTTCCCCACCCAAACAGGGTGACCCCAAAAAAAAAAGAAAAAACCCCAAAAAGAAAAAACCCTTTTCCTCATCATTCAAAACTTTCACCCCACTCGCACATTTTCACTGTTTTTGCCGAGGTGCTCAGAATACAACAGTCTAGAAGCATACACATATAAAGTACACAACATAATCCCTCCAACTGCCAATATCCCAAACCCCTCCTTTAAAGTGCA